ACATTATATATTCATAGCATGTAAGAATTACAGTTCAGTGTTAGTTATGTAAATACTACGAATTAAGTGATAGGTATGTAAATATTGCAATAATATTATTTAAATAATAATATATAGTATCAGAAGGAAAAAGTATTTATCATTTATTTCACCACATTTAGTTTGACATTTAGATGTGGAATATTTTGGCAGGGATTTAGATAACAAAACAAAATAATAATTAAATATTATTTTTTAAAATTTATTATTTAAAATTTTATATAAACCTCAAAAATTAAAAAAAAAAACACCTATACATATATAAACCATTCATTTTAGAAGATTTACATACATGCCACTCAACTCTTCTGTATTTATATACCTAACATCTAAACTTCAAACCTACATACATACCACCACAACTATGCATGAAAAGTTGTATTTCACTTTTTAAAAGCTAAAATGACTGTATATTTCATGCAGAATGAAAGATTTGGATGGTATAAATGTAAAATGTAACATTTAGGTGGTAGATATGTAAATGCATATGAATTGGGTGGCATATATAAATCATTTCAATTAAGCCTTTGAGATCAAGTTTAGACCTTATAAAATAGTTAAGTACTTGCAAGAGTTTTGCAATCACAAATCATCTTTAATTTTCAAATGTTATTTGAAAAATTCAATTCCTGTCATGTTGTGCGATGTTTCGAGGGAAGGTGTCAAGGAATAAGCTTAGAAAATGGGGTATAAATAGGTCTTAGAGAATTTAAATATTATATTGCTCAATCTGTCGAGCGAGTCCAAGTTTTTAGAATTTATTTTATTAAGTTATCGGCAAGAGTCTGAGCTATTTATAAATAGTTTTTAGAATTTATTTTATTAATAACATAGCATTAAAAATAATATATAAGTTATAAAATATGCCCCCCAACCTCGTTGAGAACAAGTATAAGATGTGAAGGGAGGCGACTCGTCGAGTTAGCTTGATAGCTCGATGGATCAATTAACTCGACCTAAGAGATATAAGACAACTTCGTCACTCACCATGGAAACCTAACTCATCTCACAATTGAGTTAGGTGAACTCTACATGAGATGTATCAACCTAAGAAGATTAGCTAATAGAAAAATCACTAGCAAGATTAATCATTTATAAAGAATGATTATCCATGCAGTTGGAACAAGATTAAAATTAAATATAGTATTAAAAGAAGATAAGAGATATGGATCAAGGATCTCTCAAGATTTAAATGAAATGAATAGTTGATTTGTAATGAATATTCCAACCAACCCTTCTATAAATAGGGGTGACTATTGTAATGCAAGGGGGGCCCCTATATAAAAGAAACTCCATTTTCTATTTTTTTCCCTCAATATTCTTAAGCTAAAATCCCTCCTAATCTTAGCTCTTTCCTTGGTGGTATGAATTCACAAATAAATCAGTATCTAATATCTTTCAAGGTATAAAAAATATGGATCTTGCCATGACAAGACGTTGAATAACACAAAGAGCGGAGCCAAATAATAGAAAAATTGTTAAAAATATGTTATGCACCAAAGAATTTGTGACATAATAAATCAACAAGTTGAAGGAACAGATGATAGTGATGATAATGTAGTTGCTATAACAAGTGTCAAGGTTAGTCTCAACGAAATGCATACTCACTCCCTCTCTAGAATTAGGAATACTCTAGACAAGAGTATTCATTATTAGCAAGAAAAATATCTAGCTCTTGCTCTAGCAAACGGGGATGATATGTATTATCTCCATAGCACCTGTTTGGCCCTCTCAGAGTATGAAAGGAAAATATGACGAACCAAATCACCCAAATGATATCAAATCCAAAATACTTTCTCCAAAGAGACCCATGAGATGGAAGCCTTAAAGAATTTTAAGATTCCATCATTAGAATCATATAGGAGTATATTTTACTCTTATAACAACATCGTCTCATTTACATTTATGTTCTGCCAAGATAGAATAAATTTCACTCTAAAATGTCAGTTAATCTTCATGACTTGAAAGGAGATAGCAACCAAGTGGTTCAATAACTTCCTGTGAAGAGTGATCACATCCTATACAGACTTCAAGTGCACAGTTGTTGTACATTTTGCTAGTGTATAGAAACCATAAGTGTTCATAAACTTTATTATGAATCCTCCAAGAATTAAGAGAATCCATGCATGAATTTATCACTCATTTCTAGAGAAAACTAATAGAGGTTACAGACCTTATACTTACAATAACACATGCAGTGCTCACCCAGAGGTTGAGAGAAGAACTTTTTTTATATGACTTAGTCTACAACAATCAAGAAATTAGCAGATTTATTAGAACTAGACAAAAATCACATTTTTACTAAGAAGTAGAACTCTCCTCTCAACTCCTTCGATGAGAGTTTCTAAGATTTACTGTTAACCTCACTTTCATGAGTACTTTTTCCTCTATAAAAACCTAGGATCTTCTTAGTGCACTCTTAGATGTCTAGAGATTGTGCTAAAATCCACATAGAACTTCAAACCAATTCTATATTCACTTAGGGTTCATACGTTGAGCTCAAATCCCCATCCTTTGGTTAAGATGAATAGGGTTTCAATCATTGAAGCCTAAGTTGGATCCCCATAGGTGGGAAATGTCTTAAGCTGCCCAAGGAGCCTAGGGTCTTAGGAATCCTCATGATAACCTGCTCTCTAACCCTAAAACCCATCCTCTTTTGTCTAGAAAAAGCCAATTGGACATGAGACTAGTTATAGAGTAAAGAAGAGTAAACTTTTTTTTAGCAAAACCCTAAAATAAAATAAAATCCTAAAATTAAAATTTAAACCAAAAAAAAAAAAAACTGGGCCACCATAGTTAAGAGCTTGCCCAATTGTTTTCCCAAACTCAAACCTTGAAGATCAACTTAACACAAAAACACACTAAACCTAAATTTAAAAAATTATCAACCCACTAAAAGAATTAAACTAAAACTTTCCTAAAATAAAATTAAGATAAAATAAAATCAATACCAACCAAATATTAACAAGCAAACATTATTAAAATTATTAATCAACCTAACTCAACACCAAAAGAATTAAGATCGCTAAATTAGACTAAATCAAATTAAAATAAATGAAATCATAAACAAAACAAACTAATCTAATTAATTAACATTGGGAAAATGTTCGATCAGCGTCGGATATTTTTTACGCTAATCAGGTAATTTTCCGACTCTAAAGTAAATTAATGTCGGTTTAGCGTCGAATTTTTTTTTATGTTAAAACAGACGTCGCTAATTGATTTTGTGTCAACATTAGCATTGGATTTTAATTTACGTCCAATTAGCATCAAAAACATCTGTTGTTATAAAATTTTATAGGACATACGGGCGACACTGGCTTAGTGGAATAATAGCGTCATGTATGTCGAATGCTAATTAGCGTTGAACATGGTCGACGCTCATTAGTGTCCACCATGTCTGACGCTACTTAGCGTTAGATTGCTTGGATGATATTTTGTCAATTTAGTGGTGGCTGGTATTGAATGCTGATTGCTGCCTTTTGTGTCAAAGTATTCCAAAGTAAATATGTAAGAAACAAAAAAAAATAGCATAACAATTAGATTTACACACACCTGCACGTAACAAACACAATCAACATAATAGGATATTTATCTATCATCACAATTTATTAAGGAAATGTTTAACATATCTACATAATGATACCAAACTAGATTAAATATAAACGGATTAAAGTGTTCAAAATTCACAACACGAGAAACTGAAAGTTCGAACAATACATAAATGAAAAAAATATAAAATTCGTTCTATATTGAAGGAATAACATCAAACACAAAAAAAAACCTAATCTCCCTCCTCACCATCATCCTCCTCCACCTCATACTCCTCGACCGAATGCATATGTCGCTTGCTCCGATGATCAAAACTCTCTGCTAGGTGTGCTAGACTATTTGCAACGAGTTACTAGTCTTCACGCACCTATCGGAGCTATTCATTTATCATCATCACCCATCTAGTAAGCTCCTTATGTTGAGCCTGTAACGAGCTAGGGCCACCCACAACTACACGGGAACGCTAAACCTCAAACACCACCCTTGTTGCTTTTAGGCAGTACACTCTCCTTTTCTTCCTCCCCGTCTTCTACGTCCACAACTCAAAATCGGACTGAGCAGTGGTAGACTGGCTACTACTGCTAGCAGACGGTGAGGTCTGGCTAGTCATCTCCCCCTATCTCTCCCCGAGCTGCTCGCACTCCTGCATAACAAAACTCAAATAGTAATTTTCATTTAAAACATTAATTGACATATTAGTAGAATTAATTTTTTAAAACTTGCATTGACACACCAAGAGTGGTCAGATACCCACTGTTGTACGTGCAGATAAATACATGAGACACATAATTATATAAATCTGTAAGCTTTTAAATTTTGACATAAATCTTACCAGCCTCTGATAGTGCTTCGTATGGGGGATCAAACCTCCAATGTGGAGTGCAACCCCTCTGGCTCCCTCCGTCATCAGGTTCTACTGATTTGTCTGTCTCTTGCACTAGTACTCCGGACAAGCCCATGCTCAATTTAACTCAGGTCAAGCTTCCTCCCCAAACCAGAAGGGCCTCTACCCCTTCTTACGTGCTTTCGGGAACATATCCCCAAGTCTATGCCTGGCACAAACCTCAAAAATCTTTTGGATATGTTGGTGATGTTCCCGCAAACAGTAAAAAGACCTCTACAAATTAGAAAGTATGTAAGCTTGATTAGCATATAAGAAAAGAAAAAATTAACTTTCTATTTAAAATTTAAATATCATACCTCAAACTCCCTAAAGTACATATTCTGAGTGGCCATCGGGATCTGCTTTCATGAGAGATATAGTTGCTCATACCTGCTCCAGATGATCTCCGTGATCCGGGTCACGGACGGCCTGAGGGGTAGAACCTGCAAATGAAACATTAAGTACATTATAAAATGGAATGAAAATCGAATTTAATATACTGTAAAAAAGAAATTTAACTTACAAATCACCCTCCGGCTCAATAAAGACTGTCTGCGGTGTCAGCCATCTTAGGTGCTGGAGTCGAGGGGCCAAGCTCATTAAATAAGAATACTAGACGGAAATAAAGTGAAGTGGAATGTAGTGCATGCGAGGGACCTGGTGTGGGAGGAGGGGCAATAGAAGGGGTCACCGGAGTGGCTGCATGAATGTTGGACCTATCAGCATTACTAATGGCCTTCTTCAGCCTCTAATATGTGTTCCCCAAAGTACCTTGAATGTAAGGTCTCTCGGAAGGCTGAGAACTTGCCATCTGCAACAGGAAATAAAATTAGAATTAATAGGTGGGATTAGTATGTAATATAAGTGAGAAAAGTAAAAGTAGAAAAGTGAAACATATCATGTCTACATATAAAATCAAGAAAATTAAGCAAGACAAGTATAGTGTAAGTAGTGAAAGTAAAAGCAAAAAGGTGCAAAAACTAATCACATCAGTAAACATACAATTTTTAGTTTATTTCATTTGACAATCCAGATGTTCAAGAACGTAAAATTTCTTCATCAATCTCATCATCATTTTCATCCATATCTAGAGGAAGTTCTTCATGAATCACTGTGATATTCTCTAGAGTTAACTCCACATTGATTAAGCTAAGTTGAATATAAAAATCAAACATAACTGACTCTTGGTGAATAGGCTCGATAACATTTGCGTCTCAATAGTTTTTCATAGTGTATTCTTTAATACAAAAGTCCAACAATTTTATCTCTTGCTCGGCCAGGATATCAAAGATAATAAACCTGACTGGCCTGACGTGCGAGAATAAATAGGTGATACTTTGCATATCTTCTCTTCATATTAACTTCGGTAATATCATACGGTTTAAGTGCCCGAATTCCTCGTATAGGAATGATATCAAACCACTCACAGTTGAACATATTAACACTGTGTTCGACATATTCTGGATATTTCAACTGAACTATTTCTTTTAATATGTCATAATAACTAAAGTTGTTATTTGTGTGTGTGTTTTCTCTAACACAAACATTATAATTATAAGTTTATTTTCCTTCACATCAGAAGCTCGTGTGAAATTTGTAACTATTAACTTCAAACGTTTGACATGTTTTCACGCTACGATTAGACCTCCAAGAAAGATCTAATAAGTCTTGGTTTGTGATTCTGTTTCATGTATTATGAACCTAGTTGAAGTTCTAAAGCATAATGTCTTTTACTTTGTAGAGTACAATTACACAACATACCGATTAATTTAAAATTTACTTCAATGTACATGTACTTTGAACCATTTTGGAAACTTATCGAATGGATTTCTCACTAAAAAATACAAAGTATTTAAATCCTCATTTTCCCTTCTTTCATCTGATTAACGCTCTATTCCTTTGGTGTGATACACAAGACAATTTAGGATCCAATAGAGAGATAAATATTACCCAACCAAAACAACATATTCACAATCTCCTGCCCCTTTAGCCCTATAGACAAAGATAAGAGCAGGAGCAAATTAGAAACATGCTGCTGTGTACTTGAATCTTTTAATGGTAAACAAACCAATCTCACTCCACACTGTCACCTTGCAATATTGACAGTTACTAAGATGCGGAACTAAACTCCTACGTACGAAAGAACTACAAAGAAGAGTTAATGTGTCGTATATTATATATACATATATATATATAGAGAGAGAGAGAGAGAGAGAGTTACGTTGTGTTTGTTTTAAGAGAGAGAGAGAGAGAGAGAGATACGTTGTGTTTGTTTTAAGGATTTAAGGGGGGCATTTGGTGGTGCCTTTTAATAGGATTCATTTCCGAATTTATTAGATCCATCCAAACGCTAAACTGCAGGACTTTTGTGAATTTATAAACTTTCGGATTGAAGGTCCCAAATTTTACTTTCGATTCAATTTAAATCCGGATTTACAAGTCCAGCGATAAGATGGATTTAGCAGTCTTATGATTTAGAAGTTCATTAAATTCTATGCTAAATACTACCTGCAGCCAAACATCCCCTAAAAATGTACTTCTTTACAATTAATTCAGAGTGTAATTCGTAGTGGTGCTTCAAGAATGTAGTTATTGATCGTGTTAACATCTATAAAATTCTTTATGTAATTATACTTGATGATCTTCTTTTATTTGCTGTTTTTATTAAAATTTTGTAGTTTTTCTTTTCATTTAAAAAATTTCCCAAAAGTACTGTGTCTACTACCACTGTAGAAGATGTAAGTGAAGGTATCCACAGACCATGAAAGGTTTCAGAAGGAACCAAAGGTAGAATTCTCTCTATCTGGCAAAAAAACAAAAATTCAGCATCAGAAGCTTAAACTTATTATAGCGATGATTGAGGAATGATGAAGTTGATGTTTCTTGAAGCTAAGTTTATCCTATCCAAAAGGGAAAATATTTACGTACGTAAGATCTACGCAGAGCTGCGTACGTCAGGAGGTTATTCAGAGGATATAAGAGGGTTACATCCGTGTTATACCCCCCTTTAACCTCCTTGTAATCTACCTGTAACTTATTTGTAACCTTTTCTGTAGTTTCGGTAGTTACAGTTAACTTACAAGGAGGGTACAGGAGGGTATAATGCGGATATAACCCGCCTATACCCTCTGAATAACCTCCGACGTACGCAAATATTTTCCATCCAAAAGAGTCCATTTCTCCTTTTCTACTGCTCTCCATTAACATAAAAATCGAAAATTTCAAATAGAGTATTGGTAATATGTTGCTAGTTTACTTGCATAATCAATCATAACTGAAAGCCATACTTGTTGGACAGGCTTAAGGAATTAAATTGACATGTCTTGACCATTTTAATATCTATTTGGTAAAAATATAGCTAAATTATAATCAATATTGTAAAAGAAATACGAAAACATTTTAGCCTATTATTCGCTCGGCATAAGGTTTAATCATATAACGGAATCAACCAAAAACTCAAAGGTAAATACAAGATTTACACAAGAATATTTGTATCCTTCAACGATGAGAAACTAAACGAACATAAAAGGGGCAATTTTTAGAGAGTTTATCAAGCAATTAATTTGTTCAACAACAAAAACGTTTGCTCACAAAGGGTGAATTTTAAAAATGATATTTTTATTTGTTTTTTAACCGACATTTCTTAAAATCCACTAAGCCGCCTATGTATGGAAAAATTATTCCATACGGACGGCATATGCAGAAATGCATGCGCCGCCCAATCTCCACCATTGATCAGAGCTTCCAACGGTGGAGATCAGACGGCGCATGCATTTCTGCATACTCCGTCCGTATGGAATAATTTTACCTATGCATGGGCTATATTGCCACATCAACAGCAAAATTGTTACTGAGATGACAACTTAGAAATTTTTATTTATTTATTTATTTATTAACTTTGCAAAGTTCCCTTGTAGAAATGTCCGCAACCTTCTGTCTAAAGTTGGAAAATTGCATAAATTTATTAAAAATTATGGAACTTATGAATTAATTCACTTGGTTGCAGCTGGAATCCAAACAAAAGCAATGTTACATACAAACATGTTACAAATTTTGAATGCAAATAGCAATTTGATCGTACAATAGCAATAATAAATTTCGCTTCTTAAATTTAAAACACACAATTCTTTCTCATCGCATCAAACATACCACTGTTTTAAGTATGCAAATGTGAAATACATCCTCATACAAAGGTAAATTGAAGATTAGATGTTCGAACCATACCTCAGGAAATGAGGGGCTTAAACGTCCTAAATATTAAAATATCTTCAACTTCAATTCCTTCTTCATCACGCATTCACGTTGTTGAAATGTTGTGTCACGAGCTTCGTCGACCCATTGGAAATAGTTGCAATCTTTCCTTGATCGATTTATGGGGCATCGATAGAACTTTCTCCTAGAGTTACCACCTTTCTGCACCGTGAAAACATTAAGTATCAGGTTGCAATCACAGTATATTTGCAGATGTTTCGTGTCTTTCAAACTTGTTGAGTAACTTGAGCTCATTTTTTGATAATTTATTCCTGTAAATCGATGATTAGAACATAAATAGTAATAGAAATTAGAAATAATCATATGTATATCACAGAATAAAATATTTAAAAAAAAAATTTTGGAACACCCATGAAATGCGAAGAACAGTGAATTTACAATTTGAAAAGTTTCAATTCCCTTGAATGTTTAACCCCCAAGGAATGGACTGGTATGTATGTAAATCTTCCATTTTTTTAAAATATGCCATACCCAAGGAATTAAAATGCAAAACCTTTTAATTCATTTAAAAATACAAGTTTCAATTTAGTAAATTGCTAAAATTGAATTCCAGCAAGATTAACATGCCGCCAAACTTAGTTTTAACAAAATAGTACATTACCGATTTAAATTTCTCGTTCAAGCAATTCTAGCAATTCTAACAATTCTGATACTCTCTGCTACAACAAGATTAACATGCCGCCAAACTTAGTTTTAACAAAATAGTACATTACCGATTTAAATTTCTCGTTCAAGCAATTCTAACAATTCTAATACTCTCTGCTACAACAAAGGGAGACTGGAACCTGAGTTGTGGTTGATGCCAACTAAATTGAAACTACTTACAGAAATAAGCAAAACCTAACAACATAATCAAAACACTAAAGAATACATTCCCTTATCATAAGCAACATCATCCTAGAAATTTTTTAACAAAATAAACAATAAAAATAAAATAGAACATAAACTAATAATTCTCATTTCAATGTTCACTTTCTGTGCTTCTAAGTAAACATTTTTAGATTTTTATCACCATTAGAAATTACAATCATTCTTCATTTTCATCAAAACTGTAGGCATATTGATAGTAAATAAGGAAGCCCGAAGCTTGTGTAACAATGGATTTGAGCTCATAGTTTTCAGCTTTGAACTGTTTAAAAAATTAACAGATAAAAGATTGAATCCATCAAACAGGACGCCAAATTAAGTTTTAAGAAGTCAGCATAGAGATAAATATAACATAATAGTATACCATGTTTCTTGTCATTGTAAAACAGAAGTTACCCAGGCAAAATTTACTTCACCAACTTACCTGTAAAGAATAAAATCTGGAACTCAAGATTAGGTTGGGAGGAACAACCACCTTTTGCATGAAATCTGCTTACATAAACTTTATTTGAGGTGCCTTTAGACAAATACACATACTTGAACATGGTTCATGAAACAAAATTATCTTTGTAGTTCAGATCCAAAACAAGTGACTTTGGAGCTTCTTTCATCATTTTTATCTCATATTTTATGCAGATACCGAGTAGATACAAGCGCAAATATCAAACTTTCCACGAAAATTTTGAACGACATACATTAAATAGCAACTAACAAGTATTGCTATTAGATTTGTAAATAAATATGAATGATACTATCTGACATCAAGGTTGAACACTAAGCCCAAGAATCCTAAATTAAAAAAAAAATGTGAAGGTTACTACAAAACTAGAAAATAAAAACATGAGGTGATAAGGTTACTACAAAAACTAGTGTTAGTGACATTTTCGTTGAGATATTGCATTTGTCCTGGGGTTTCATGCTGAGATGTGCGAACTAGCCTATCTCTCAAATGATGTTCACGATCATAGTCCTCCGATTGTTGTGTCTTCAGCATGCCAACCTGTGTCGTGAATTGCGACTGTTGTAGTGGAGTTGGGGAGACATCCAAAACTGCCCAGAATAAGATGATCTAAACGGGGTGGTGGCTCCACCCATCCAAAATTGTTATGATAATGTAGTGGTGTAAATTGTGTATATTGTTGCGACGGTCGCTATGCTGTGCCACTGGATGCATATTCGCCATACAATCGACTTAGATTGTGGAGGGTTAATAAACTTAGATCAACAGGAGCAGATTGTGCAACACTGACAATTGCTAGTGGGTATAATGTGTCTAAAGTGGGTGTGTGTTTTGCAATGTTGCCTGTGTCATAGCGATCATCTGTAATGTACATGCTCCTACGAATCTCTCTACATAAGCCATCAAATACATCAATCAGAGGCTGATATGGGTTGTCATCACATCTCCCAAATACAGGCTGAAACAACTCTTCAACCTTAAGGAAGTGAAGGCGCGGCATTGAAATTCAAATATTAGATATCCATCATAATTTAAAAAATGTTTGTTACCTACCAGAATTCTACCCTTGGTACTTTTGGATAATATGATCTTAGAGTTTTGGATGGAGCTTGTAGCAAGTACAGGGAAGCCCAAGATCTATACAACTACATATACTCTCTATGTGTTTGATTCTCATCAATATCCATATTATCGATGTGGACAATACAGGCACGTCTATTTTTCCAGATCTATATATAACGTTGATGATATACAACCCAACCCATATCTGACTTCCCTCTACCATCTACCCGTGTGATTCCAGGCTCCATTGACTCCATGTTAATTATCTAAACACTGTCAAATTACCTCATGACGCGATCAGGTAAATGTCACTCAACTCTCCTTTAGGAAATTAATAGAACACGAGCTTGCCAAATATCTTGCCTATATATATCAAAATTAATAGAACACGAGCTTGCCAAATATCTTGCCCTGACGTATATATATCAGCCACATGTGTCAATATCTACACCGTGTAGAGCTCCCATGTTACCTGGTCATTAAACCCACATGGATTGAACATGTCACTTTTTATCAAGAATAAAACAAATGAAAAATTACATTTACATTAAACATTGTATGAACCTAACTTTCAAGTAGCCCATCAATCATATAAATTCTTACGATCTTTGTAGGAACTTCTGGAATTTGTAACTCATTCTATATATAATTTGATGTATAGTCGGCTTTATAAACAACGCTTTTAATTTAAAACCAATCACTATGTATCTAAACTCTAGAATCTTCCCGTCTTCTAAGATATGAAGATGTGGCACATAATGTGTCGGTCGGCCTACAAGCAAATGTTCTCAACTCTAGACATGTAGAAGATATAGATATTCACCCGGTTTTGTTTCGTTACAAGTTCAATTCTCGATACAGGTGAGCCAATAATGCATTGTCCAATGAGTATTTTCCAAAATCTTCTAAACTTTCCATCATCAACAAGTACTGCAGATAAATCTCGCAACAGACGTATCAAGCAGTAAAAACAACCTAGTATGAACAATGCATATGCACGAATATACCTCTGATAGGTAATTTCATCTAAGTCCATTTAAGATTCATGAGAGAACATCTATCTTAGATAATCTGAGAGGCATGCATGTACATCTCATTGCATGACCCGTCTGAGATGTCGATGTGATGTGAGTGCCTCATTAGTGGGGTCATGATAAACAACATCTTCTATCGGATGAGCACCAAAAAGTTGGTCACAACAATCAGGCCACGAAGCTCATTTGCCACTCACTCCCACTACACCCATCCAATCAAAGGAGGCCGATCAATGCAGAGACCAAGTATTACACCAACATCCTGTGCGGTAATCGTCGAATCGCCCATGAGAAGGTGAAATGTATTCATATCAGGTGCCCATCTTTCCACAGAAGCAATGAGCTAGTGATGATCCAACTTTATATAATGAAGGTTTTTGATACATTCTAACCCCACCTACCACAGCCGCTCTATGAATCAAGGACATGTAATCTGCCACTCATAAGCCATCAGCAAATGTGAAGATACTTCTAAAGTATTACCACATAAATGAAGATCCTTAATAAATATTAGGATATAAAAAATAGCTTGATTTTATGATTTGAATGCTAAAAGGAGTGTATCACATTGGGGTGTGCAGCTCGATGCGATCCATATAAAACAACAATACTTGGATGAACAACATCAGGTGGGGGCCATAACAATCACCGGCCGCCCATGTACCTCAATGGTGTCCTTATGTTCCTCCTTCATGATAACCGTGTGTGAAATATATGTCAATGAGCACATAAAAAGAAAGACCCAAATTAAGAAGTTTGTGTTTCAAAAGTACAAGTAGAATATCCCTAATCTATTTTAAACAACAATCATAGTCTCAATATAAGAGTTAGGTGATTTAAAATATATAAAAGAAAAAAACATTGACATAATGTTTGACTTAAGTAAAATTTTAGTCCAACATAACAAGAAAGTTAAGTTAAAGTGCATAATACCATCACAACTCTGTTGACCTCAATTTTGAGGTCTTCCTTTCCCTTCCTTTCGATACCCTAGGATCTAGCATTAGGATTTTTCTACTTTGACTCTCCTAGAAGACTAGACCGGCACCCACAATATTTAGAAATTCAAGTCATTTCTTCGCTCTTTGAAGTTTCATATGGACGGTTTCTAATCATCGACGTCCAATTGAATCGATTAAAGCCAACCTATTAAAGCTCTTGTTGAGTTCCCATAGAAATTTGAAAGACATTTGTGGACCCCACGGCATGTGGACCCCATGGCATACGACGTTGACTTTCTGCCGAGAGCAATATGTTTGACTATGGTCGTCGTTTAGGCGAGGATCGGTCATCAATTTGCTCGTTAAACGGCTCCGATTGGACCAAAATAACTTCTTTTTGCCGCGATATGCGTAAATTAAAGTTAAATTGGTACGATATTCGGCAAAATTTTTCGGATGACCCCGGATGATGAAGCAGACTGTGTTAGCGTGTTCGGAACGTCGAAATCGCTTAAGAAGGACACCTATCTTGATAGGGTTCCAAATTGGATCTGAATTGTGTGTAAATTGACGAATTTAAATAAAACTATTTTTTTTAATTAAAAAAATGAATTTCTTAAAATAAAAATAAAACTCATGCCTCCTCTTCTTTCCCACACAAAATCTCTCGCCCACGCCTCCTCTCGGTCGAAACTCTTGCCCCTCTTTCGACCAAAATCTCGAAGCTTCCTTCTGGTTCTCCGGTCATCTTCCTTCCTTTCGAGCCCTAACCGACTCTCGTTGTCTGTTACTTCGTCGGTAACCCTTCTCTACAAGATTTTCCCGCCCAATTGAGTCGGGTAACCTTCCTATTCTCAAATTTTGATGGGTTTTTTGCCCTTCGTGGG